GCATTCCCCTGCCTCCACCTCAGCCCAGAAACACCGACTGGCACTCTCCTGTTTTGCATCTCTGGGGGACTGAGGTGGAAGAGCGGGATTGGGGCAGGGTAGGAGAGGAGAAGCCTAGGAGACTTGGGCTCCAGGCAAGAGCCTGCAGGTGCGCTGAGGACAAGCAGAGAAACACGATGCTTGGGGGGGGGGGGGGGGGGGGGGACCGCTAAGAGTTTTGTTTTCTCTCTTCCTTACTCTAGGGCTTAGCCAGTTGTTTGCCGGCAGTTCTGTAGAATCAGGTTAGAGTCAAGTTTTCCCTGGTCCTGCTTTGTCGCTCCTTCTAAACTGTAATGCGCCTATGAAAACGTCGCAGCTCCAAACCGCAGGCGTGCCTAAACCGAGACTGTCGGCTTGGAAATGTCACCAAAGTGTAAAATGGACTTTAGCGTTTCAGGCAGTAACGTTTAGCCCGGGAGGTCCTGCACTGCCCCTAATTTCAGGCTTCACCTGGCTTGTGATTTTCTTTCTCCCCCTCATCTCTGCCGTCGGGCAGAAAACGCTCTCTTTCCTTCACTTCCTCTAAGGTGGACCAGGAGGGTTTCCTTGTTCCCGGAGGGGCTGACAAGAAGCCCCGAGTCCACAAGACCACGCTCTCCGGAGCAGAGCCGGGGTTCAGTGTTTGGATTCCCTAGAACCACGCCAGGCAACTGGCCTTGGCTGGCGCACCAGACTGCAATTAGCGATCCAGACGCCCAGCGTGGCCGCGAGGAGCAGGACTGGTCTGCGCCAGCGAGTTCTGGGTGCTCTTGCCGGAGTGCATTCTCCAGTGGAATAGCCCACCAAACCAGTGGGGCAGAAGCCAGTAGGTCCTGCACGGAGGCCCTGCCGCCTCTAGGTGTCCTCCACTGCTGAGAGGTAAACACGCCCCTCCCTCTATCAGAAAAGAGAAGGCGCCTGGGACTGGTAAGTCCCATGCAAGAGACAGTTAAGTCTCTGAGGGGTGACACGTTTTCTGAGCAGCCGCTTGTCCAAAGAGCTTCTGGAAGCTTCCTCCTTCAGCCGTCTTCAGGAGTCTGAAAAGAGGTTAGAATAGGGTGAGACGCCCTCTCGGAACCCTGAACCTGCATGGTATCGCCCGTCTGAACACCCTGTTGGCTGATTTGGGCTCTAAGAGTCACCATCAAAATCCTCACCTTGCTGGAGCTAATGTCTCCCCACTTTGCTGCCTCTAAGCATTCTAGGAGGGCTGTGCTGGTGGGGCTTATAGTCGGAACCTGGACTAGGGCCCTTCCAGGGGAGCGAGCCTGAGGCCACCAGCCAGCGTTGCTTCTGTGCTGCAGGACAGGGGCTCCTTGGACCAAGTTTTCTCCTGTCCCCCAGCTGTGCTTGGCCCAGGTTTCCGCAAGTCTAACCCGCAGGAGTCCTTGCAGACTGGCAGCCTGAGTAGGCGGCAATTCAGAGAGAGACCGAGTACCTTGCAACTTCCAGGTCAAGTTCCCTGAAATGTGTGGTTACTCTCTGCTAGGAGCTTGTCGGCGAGGGTTCAATAGTCAAGTTGGTGAGGACTTTACTTAAAGTAATAATTTGCTAATTCGGATCTATTGCTTTTAAATATCGAGTTCCAGAGACCTCTGTCAATACAGGCTTAATTTCATCCTACTGATGAAGGATGTTTATAACTGGTGCCTGCAGTGCAAGCCGAGTGTGAAAATATCAGTTGCCTTTTGATAAGAATTACCGAGGTGGAAGTCTTATTAGACGATTACAAATTTCGCAGCTGCTCACAGCCCAATTAGGCAGCTCTTGGAGGTGAGTGGAAGCTGTGGGAGTCGGGGCGGGTTGGTGTTCCCTCTTTGCAGCCCTGGACCTCCAATCAAGGCCCGGTTCAAGGGGAGCCAGACCTCTTTCACTGCGTGCCCGGAGGGATTCAGGGCGGCATTTTTCAGCAAGTTCTAACTGCCATGGGAGCCTTAAGCACAGCCCTGGGAAAGGACATCGGGATATTTTCCTTGCTCTTTTCCAGCAGCTCTCTCCGCAGCGAGCCTTGTGAGCTGAGCATGTCCTTCCCTCCGTGGGCCAATGGCCTCTGATTTTCATTTCAGAAAGGCGGACATGTAGAAATATCAGTTTAGTCCGTAGAAAGCCAACGAAGCTGCAGATGTCTTTCCCAACTGCGGAAAGGACACTAAGATGGTTTTTGGTAGGTCCTGGTCCTTTCAAAATTGGTCTTAATCGAAAAGTTGGAAGAGTTAGGAAGTTAGGAAGATTTAAAAGAAGAAAAAAAAAAAACTGCACTGAGTTTTAATCCCATGCCTAAACCGGGCAGACGTACTACAAAACAGCAAACTTTGCTTTTCTAGAGTGGAGGAGGAGCTGGCTGAGGTGAGAGGTGGGCTGGAGAAAGTGGGACTGGTGCACCAAGCTACACCCCATATGCTCGCTGGGGTCTCTCAAGAGGTCCGGACGGGACTTAGGAGGGCCTGAGACAGGCGGGGCTCCCAGAAAGACCTGTACACCCCCTTCTCCTCCCAACTTCACACCGGATCCCCAGTCCCACCCTCCGGGAAGACGGAATTGACTCACCGCAACAAGGCCTAAGCAGGAAGGTTAGCTGGGTACAGGCAAATACGCAAATACACGGCGGGAAAGGTACTGACTCTACTGTGCTTGGAGTAGATCGGACGCCAGATTCCTCTTTTAGGTCTTCTGCCAAGTGCCGGACCATTCGTTCCCGCGCCCAGCAGCCTAGAAAAATGAATCATTTCCTCCACTTAACGCAGAGATAGGAGCTCTTAGATCAAGATTAGTGTTTTGAAAACCTGATTGAGAGCCGGCTGATTAGGCGAGGGTGGGTGGAAAGAACGCGTCAACGCCAGCGCCCCCCCCCCTCGTTCCCCCAAAACAGCTCTCAAGCTGTAGGGTTTTCTAAATGACCCCGCGATTAATTCTCCTCCTTAGTAGCCAAACTGTGTTCCAGATTCACTTTGCAAACTTCAACACAAAGAAATTACGTCTCCAAACCGGACCTGTACTTTAAATTTCGCTATTAATGGAATACTGACTACTACACGCACTCTGATGGCGCCAGCATTCTGCTTGATTCTTTCCCTTCGGAGGAGTCATCTACTTCGGAGGACTACGCTACTTCAGAGGAACGCATTATGTGGGCCCCCCTCCCCAATAATGATTTTTTGCACTTCATGAAAAGCACAAAGTCATTTTGCACCCCCATGCACAAATTAGCTTTTCAGAAAGTCGATCCATCCGAACTCTCAACTCTTTCCTAGGAATACAGATTAATCTTAGTCCCTTGCCTTCCCCCGCGTGCATTTGGCAGAGATCTCCCAGAGAAGACTCACCCTCGGATGGCTGATATTAATATGTGTGCAGCCAAAGGGGGAAAAAAATCCAATGGCGATAGAAAATGTTTAAGCAGGGTGCTTCTGAGGATACTTCAATGAAAAGAACACTAAATTTACGGTCATTATTCGGCCCTTAACTGTCATACACAGGGTCATTTCCTCCCTGGAAAGTCTGTCCCTTCCACTAGCCTGCTGCTAATCTGACTGACAAGATCATCTAAGCTTCATTTTCTAGATACGAAAGGCAGAGAGATAGGATTATATGTGTGCGAGTGCATATATTTATACATTTATATACATATCTAATTGAACTGACAGTGCAACCTTTTGTTGACTGTCTTAAAACAACTCTCATATATTTTTGCCTTAAACTTGAGAAGTTTTGTTTTGCTTCTTAAAAAGAGAAGCTTGAGAATTATATATGTATGTCTTACCAAATGGCTCATCTTGTACCAAATAACAAGGTTAAATTGATACCATAAAGAAGTTATTTAAGCAAACACTCCCCAGCTTGTGGAGCACCCTGCTGTCTCACACACCCACTTGAGGCACCTCTAGGGCTTCAATTTTGTCCGCTGGGTGATAAAGCAACAATATACTTTCGTCTTTCTTGAAGCCTTGTTTTCAAATCTAGTCGCAATTCCTAAGCTTTTGCGGTGCTGCGAAGTTCCTTCTTAAAGAGCAAACTTTTCACCAAGGACACAAGTGGCTCTGTAAGTCAGCTCTCAGGCTGCCAGGGAGCGCCGCCGCCGGGAGAATGCCACATGAGCGGTAGCTTGCGCCTTTCCAGGGGACGACTGCAACCTTCTAGTCACTCAAAGACCTTCACTTCCCCAGCTGCCTGCTGCAGCTAGAGATGTAACCTGAATCTTTGTTTAGGTTTTGGTGGAGAGTGAGACTCTAAATGCCACTGCACATGCAGACGGCAGATTTTTAAAAAGTCAATTTAATAGGCCATCCCCAATGGTGGTCTTCTTTTCCCCCCCTCTTTAATACTAAACCTGGAATAAGTTGGCGAGTCCAGATAAAGATCTTACCCCGTAGAGAAGGCGGGTTTTCCTCAAGGAGGTGAGGCTATTCCTCCAGGAAGACTTTTCCCCACGACCCCTCCCTTTATGCAAGGTTCCACCCTCTGGAAAACAAAACTTTTTTTTTTTTTTCTTTTCCTGGAGGGACAGACCTCAGTGAAGTTGGGAAGGGCATCTTAAGCACAGCGCTTCAGAGAGCCGCCACGGCTGCAGCGGCCTCTTTGGACGGAAAATCGCGGGCGGACGAACTCCCCCCACCCCTCCGGGCGTCAGCTTTAGGGAGTGCAGTTGGGGCGGGGGCGGGCGAAGCGGCAGACGCGGACAGCCCAGCCCGTGGCCCTGCAGAGCTGGTATGTGACAAACAGCCCTAGCGGTGCCATGTATTGGAAGAGCGATCAGATGTTTGTGTGTCAACTAGAAGAAAAGGACGTGCCGGAGCTGGGCGTTCTCCCCGAGAAGGTGAGCGAGCCGCAGTTTCCCTGAAACGCGGGCGTTGGGGCTCCCAAACGAGGTGCAACGACTACCTGGAACGGCGGCATCTGCAGACCTGGCCATTTTGTTGTTGTTGCCGTTACGTAGTAGCGTTAGTCCGTAATCACTGCCCCCCTCCCCACCCCCCAAGCTCACTTAACCTGGGGCATGGAGACTGTAATTTGGGAGACGAAGCCTCGAGCCTAAGGCGCACTCGGGTCCATGTGAGTCGTGCTTTTGCTCTATTTGCCTCGGTGACCGTGGCGGGTCGGGCAAGTCCGAGTGGGGATGAGGACCGGGCGGCTATCGGGTGGGACCAGAGAAGCGGCTCCGCGCGCTCGCCCACGGGCACCCGCCGGCCTAAGGGCGAGGCGCGCGGCCTCGCGGGCCCCGGAATGAGACGGAGGACGGCGTGACTCTGACAAGGCCTTTGGCATTCCAAGGCGGGTCAGAAGAGTCCTTTCGCTGGAAATGCCGAAAAACAAAAACAAAAATCAAAACAAAACAAAACAAAAAAACGGCACAAGCCCCGGGGCACAAAAGGAGTTCAAGGGTTCGCCGGAGTCAGTGACGGAACGTGACTAGCTTCCACTTCCTTCTGGAGGCACAGCCCGTCGGTCTTGGCTTTTAAAGTCCTCCGCGGCGAGTTTGAGGGCCTCGGCAGAACCCTCCCGGGGCGCCACTGAGGTTGAATTTGCTCCGACGCCGACATGGCGCTGCTGGCTTAAACTCTGTGCTTGAGACGACGCCGCGTCCGGCAGCCGCGTCAGGGTCCCTTCTGCGGAGCGCACGCGAGCGTGTCCCCGAGCGCGACCTCCAGGTCCGGAGGACCCTGGCCTGGTGCGTCCGGAGGGCCGGGGAAAGAAGCGGGGAGACCTAGACTGGGGCAGCTCCAAATGCGGCGGACTGACCCGCCCTCAAGCTAGAGTTCTCCTAAACGAAGCAGACGGACGCCCCAAAAGGATGGGGTTTTCATTTACTCACAAAACTCCGGCAAAGGCTTGGAAACACTTGGGAAATGAGTGTTGTTGCTTTAAAACATTTTGACTGAGGTTGGGTGAGGATTTCTTTTTTTTTTTTTTTTTTTCTTTTTGGTAATGGCACAAATTAAATTCAGCTGGATATTTTCCATTATTCGACCCGCTTTTTGCGCTGGTTAAAAATAATCCTTTAGTGGCTCAAATGTTGACTTACTGAGCAATAAGTGGCAATTTACACCTTAAAGAAACAAGTGTAAATCACTGACGGCTCTAATTGCTGCAAGTTTACGAAAGAGCTGCTGGCTCGGTTTAATCTGTAGCATTTTCATTCAAATTGTCATCGGAACAAACACCAGGCTTCTTAAATCCCGCTGTAATTAGCTTTCAAGTATCCTATTAAACCTCTTCACCTTTCGGGCTATCCTATTCAAACAGCCCCCTTTTAAAAATATATATGTGTCTTACTCTTTTAATTGAGGTTATTAAAGAAATCAAGTTTCTCCCCCCACCCCCTCCTCAGTCTTCTTTTCTTCTCTCCCACTCGACCTCCCCCGTCGCCCCGCACCCCCTTTCGCCCGGTGTTCCCCGCTCCGAGGTGATTGACGTCTAGAAAGAAAATGCTTTGTGCGGGGATGATTGTTATTAACTTGTTATCCCCGGCGGGGCGGGCGGGGAGCCGACCCGCTCCGGCGAGCGCTGGGGACCCGGAATCCCGGGAGGACCGCAGCGCGCCGCCTGGCAAGCCCTTGGTGCTCGGGTGGCGGTCGCCGGCGGCGGCGAGGGAGGCTGCGCGCCCTGCCCGCCCGTGGCCCGCGGGCTCCGAGCGGGGTCGGCTGCACGAGCACCGCGCGCCGGGTCCTTCATAAGCTCGTCCCGCGTGCCAGCTCCGAACTTCTCACCTCTCTCTCTCTCTCTCGCCCCTTCCCGCCCCCCGCTCCCACCGCGCAGTGCCGAGGGCTCATGTCGGACGACTGCGGGCGGACCTCAGCCCTCGCGGCTGGAAGGGCTCGGAAAGGCGCCCGGGAAGAAGGATTGGTGAGTGAGGAGGGCTCGGTCCCCGAGCTACAAGGATTTGCCGTGGGGGAGGTGGTGCTGCGTGGCCGGCTCGTGTCCCGTGCTCCTTCCGAGGTCCGACTGGCCCCTCTGGGAGCCGGTAGAGAGATGGAGTGAACAGCTTTGCTAGTCCGCGCCGATGGCAGGGTCGCCAGACCAGGGGTCCTCGAGGATAGGAGTGGGGCAGCCCTGGAGGGTGCGTGGCCAGATCTTAAAGCTGTGGGAAAGGGCAAGAAATGGGGGTGGGGGTGGTCTGGGGAGTAGAGGAGGTGGAGGGGGTGCCCGGTGGGTAGGTGGGGGTACGAAGAGGAGGAGGGGTCTAGAACCTTCTGCACGCACGACTTCTTGCAGGTGAGCCCTGAGGGAGCAGGGGACGAGGACTCGTGCTCCTCCTCGGCCCCGCTGTCCCCGTCTTCCTCGCCCCGGTCCATGGCCTCAGGCTCCGGCTGCCCTCCAGGCAAGTGTGTGTGCAACAGCTGCGGCCTGGAGATCGTGGACAAATACCTGCTCAAGGTAGGATTGGGCCGTGGCGAGCCAGCCCGAAGCTCTGAGACGAAAGAAAAGTTCGCTGCTTAAATTTTGCTGGTTTGATCAGTCCTGTCCAGCGGGACTTGGACAGTCGGGGAAAGGGTTGAAAGAAATCTTAAAATCTTCCATGTTGTTGCAAAACACATTACATGTGACATATCGTGGTCTAGAGATGTTTCTATCTCCGAGCTGGATGTGCTGGAGGCAGCCGCTTGTGGGAGGAAAACCTTTACCTATCCTGGGACAGGAACCTGTCCTGGATCCTGTCTTAAAGACCGTTGTTACCTTCTCAATTACTGTAGTCTTTGCACTGTGGTGAAAGGCGCTCAGAGGAGTTTCCAGGTGGGAAACATGTGAACTGATTTAGTAGAGGAGATCCACTCTAAACTACTTAATAAGTCTTTCCTGGGTTATCTCTTTAAACGTGTAAGTTTGTGATGCAGTCACCTGAGGCTCTTCCAACCTAAAAGTTCACAGGAGCATTGAGGTAAAACGCATTTCCACGTCTTCCAGCTCTTAGTAAAGTTTAGTACTTCAAGGCCACTCGATGTTGCTCTTAGTGTCCTCTGCAGTGCTGGGGAATAAAATGGAAATAGATGTAAAGATAGATACACACATGCCTGAGTTGAAGTGCTTTAAGTGGTAGTTGGAGAGGTGACTGTCTGCCTTAATTTGTTTTACTTTTCTCTTAACATGTTGTGGAGGAATTTTGGAGTAGAAATTTTGGCAGGTCACAGTTACCCATGCCTTTGTAAGCAGGAACACAATCCATGTGCAGTAATCCAATTCCATGCTGTTTTCCTGGGGTTTTTTGTTTGTTTGTTTTTAGTCCCAATGGCTTTTTAAACCTCTACATGAAATGATCGTTTCTTCTCCACCTATTTTTGTAGCAAACTGTTTCTCTTTCTCTTCCTTCCCCATCTTGGTTTCCAAAAGTTTCCAAAAGTCTACTTAAGGAGAGAGTACGAACTTAAAGGAAGGAGTTAATAGGTTTCTTTAAATTTTGACTTCTGTACAAAACTGCTTCATCTGTAGAATGGGAATGATGTGCTATGGAAAAAACCCGCATGAGACAGCAAAAGATGGTTTAGCAAATCTTACTTAGTGGTTAATTCTTTAAAGCTGGCAAATTAACATGGCTTTCTCTTTAAGATTCCATTTCTGTTAAGATTATGTTTTTTTCAATGTTGATAATTCTAAGCCATGGGGATATTTCAAGATCTTTTCAGTCAAAACCAGCTTATTTTTTTAATAAGTCCTCTCAATAATTACCATAATATGTGGGAATATTTTGGAAATTAGTCAATGAAAGCTTTAACACTTTGATACAGAAAGATATAAAGAAAGGCTATGGTGAAGTTATACTTAGACAATAATTAGAAATAGTTTCTGCAGTCCACTTTATGTAGTGTATCGTGTAAAATACCTGTTTTTTAATTGACTTGTATAAAACTCCTTTTGGATAACAACAAGAATTTTTCCAAGTGAAATCGTGTAGACAGTCTTGTTCTACCACCTCATGTACATATTTATATATTTCAAGCAAAGTTGGGAACTAGCTGATAGCATAAAAATCCTAGGTTCTTGTGTCTCTATTTTGAATATGTGTTTCTTCAGGTAGCTTTTTTCAACTTGTCACATGTAAACAAGAGAAAAAGAGACTTCGTATTTGCTAGTGTAATAAAGCACCATCGTATGAGATAACTAAAATGGAATCTGAACAGATAAGTACAAGACAGATGTATAAGTGTGCATTGATTGGATCTTTGTGATAGGGAAGGCTGAGGTCTGCAGAATTTTCTGTCTTCACCTTTCTTTCTAGCAAAGAAATGGAAGACTAAGGAACTATATTTTCTTATTTTAGAATGCAAATTTTAGGAGGAAAGGTGACAAAGATGGCATTTTAGATTTGGCTTAGGTAGAGTTAGGCCACAACACTTTCTTTAAGCACTTTGTTTTAAAAACAAAGCAAAAACATGAATATGATGGAAATCAGAAGGCCCTTAAACAGAGAACTCATCAAGGAAGTCTGCACTTCTGAACTACCTGACAATTCGGACTATTTTAATGAATAATAATAGAAAGGAAATATACATCTTAATTTCCAGGATAGTATTCACAGCTGTTAATTCTGTTTTTACCCTGGCTTTCACTGATGTACTTTGTTATTTTAGAGGTTTTCCATGGTGAACATGCAGTTCTTTTAGATCAAAACCTAAAGTTTGAAAAAAAAAAGAGGCTCAAATATTTTGGGAACATAATTCTTGTCTTTATTTAACAAGAACAAACTTTAGGAGCCTACAATACATGCCAGATTATTCCATTTACATATTCATTCTTGAAGGCTAAAGTAGTGATGCTTATTGCGTGATGGCAACAGTTTTAAAAGAGAATAGTTAGGCTTGTTCCTTAAATTGACACTTTGTCATGTTCTGTTCAGGAAGCATAAGATCCTGTGTTAAATAGCATGCTATGTCTTACAAACTACAAGTGGGAAACACCACATTGGGTGCCTTTTGAGAACCACTTCTAATCAGATTTGTTTTTTTCTTCGGTAGCCAGATCATTAAGTGTGTTTACCAATACTTTACTCCTTGATTCTGTTTTCTGTACAGCTGTTTAATGTTAGAAGGAAGCCAGGACTTGTACCGTATCAACGTTTAAATTTATCTTTAGCAGTTTCTGTTTTGTAAGGGGCATTCATTGCCTAGCTTCTTTCTAAGGGTAAGGTTCCTACAAAGCTGCTTTCTTTTACTTTCTTTTTTGCTTTCTTTAATACGTGCACAGTTTATAATTGTTTGGCCACAAAATAGAATGTCAAGGGTCGTGTCTGACTTCCTTAACAATTGAGTTTCATAGTAGGAAGATTTTGGTAAAAGAGGAAAAAAAAATTACAACGTAAAGTGACCAACATTTTCCTGGTATTCAGAAAGGTTTGATTTAACAAAGAAATAACTTCCACTACCTGAATTCTTCAAAGAAAAAAAAATGTAATTGCAAAATGTGGCATATGCTAAAGTGACTTTCTGGTTGGAATAAAAAAGATGCACGTTTGTATAATTGATCAGGTGAAAACAGAAAATGTATTGAACTATTAACGGGGCAGTTTCTATTGCCTCACACACAACCCAATTAATGTCATCCTTAGGTGTGGTGGTAGGATAGCTTCTCACCTTGCCTTCTGCTCTTCACAGGTGAATGATCTGTGCTGGCATGTCCGCTGTCTTTCCTGCAGCGTCTGCAGAACCTCCTTGGGAAGGCACACCAGCTGTTATATCAAAGACAAAGACATTTTCTGCAAACTTGATTATTTCAGGTAGATTGTGAAATTTTGTCTTAGTAGATAATTCCACAAATTATTATGTAAAATATGTTGCGATGTGCTTTAGCTATCCATTTTTATTTGATGCCTCATTTGTTTTATGCAAAAGATTTCAAAGAATGCTTTTATATTTTTGAGGTTATTTTATACTAAATAAATCTATCTGCTTTCCTTAGAAATTCAGTATACAAAATTAATTTTAAGTAATAGTCCTATTTGGGGAATAAAAGTTTGAGGTATTGAAAGAAGAATTGTCTTTTCTGTGCATAGCTGTAAAAGTATGAAATATGAGACCACTTACTACAACAAAGCTCCTTGTTTGGGGAGAATAATAGGATGAAGTCATTTAGAAGAAAAACAATGTTCTATTAAATTTTTACCAGTTCACTGTAGAATGACCTCCAAGTTTTACACCTGAAAGATTCAGGAGTTTGGAGACTATGATAAGAAGAACTGGTTAATCCAATATAATAATATGCCAAATCTACTTCTGCCTAGAATTCTGGGAATTTTTTTTTGTCCTTTGAATTTCAGCTTGTTAGACGATATTTGTGTATTATATTGGTCACTGTGACTCTTCATAATCCTGTAAAGTGTTCTCCAGACTCTAGGTCAGTTGTTTTTGACAGCTGTCTAGAGATTGAAATCATTCTTAATCCTGGCTTTCGCACATTTTTATTGTGTGGTTTCTTTATTTGCATTTTCAAATGAAGAATAAAATTCATTCAGAAGCTAATGCTACATAATAAAGTTTGTAATATAAATTTTATTGTTTATGTTGTATTTCAAAAATTGATTTCAGAAAATTTAAAATTACATTCTAATCACAAGTAATTGAAACCCAGAATCTTTTATTTTATGAAGTCTTACATTTTCTAATTACCTAAAACAGTTCTCATTGGCTTTCTTGTCCATTTATTTAATAACAATTTAAAGAATGGTTTATAACGAATTTGTAACTATTATTTTCCTCTCACACAGGATGTGCTAATCTTAGTTTTTATTTAAAACCCTTTGGAAGATATGATGTTAAAGTCTTATTGAAAGTCTACTTAGGTTTTTTTTTTCAATACTTTGTTGTTTTCTGAAATTTATTTGTGGAGTTTAACGTTTCCAGATAACTTTTAAAAATGAAGTGGTAATAACTTTGAAGATGCATTAGTTAACTGACAGAGACACATTCTAGTGGAGTGTGACTTGGCGTGCCTGGCCATGACTATCCCTTTGATAGCCAGTGAACAGTTTGTCATCTTTCCTCAGATTTGGAGACAAAAATATTTACCCCTAGCTTTGGCATTTTGTTAACAATGACCTACGATATCCTATGTGTCTCTCAGAATTTTAGGTAAATATTTCTTCCCTCCTGTGAATAACAACGCCATAGCTTTTCCATTAAAGGAAACATTGTGAAACTTTCCTTTCTCCAACTCCAGAGTGAAGAATTTCTGTTTTTTGTGGCTCTGTGATAATTTGTACTTTAAATGTGTGAAACTTTTAAAAGATATTCAGATTGTTTCCTGATTATCTCAACTGGGCTTTAAGAAGCCACTATTTGTGCAATTGATATGCTTTTATACTTTATTGTTTTCGATCTACAGAGTGTATATGTGTGTCTTGAGTGTCTAGTAAATTTATAAATGCACTGATATTTAAAATAGAGGGATGTTGAAAGTCATGTTTCATTTATTTAACAATCAAGTTTTAAAGCAATAATAAGATTTAAAAAAATTTTTATAAGCAAGTTCAAATTGTGAACTTACCTCAAATTTTCATTGCCTTATTATGTAAAATTTTTGAAAAGTAATACCCATTTTTCAAAATATTTAATTGCTTAAGTTATGCCAATGGTGTCACAAAATATGTTAGCGTTAGACTGATCGATGTCCTGCCAAGCAGTGAAGTCTGATATCTGCCTTTTCCTCCCTGTAGAAGGTACGGCACTCGCTGCTCTCGCTGTGGAAGGCACATCCACTCTACTGACTGGGTGCGGAGGGCCAAGGGGAATGTCTATCACTTGGCGTGCTTTGCCTGTTTCTCCTGCAAAAGACAACTTTCCACTGGAGAGGAATTTGCTTTGGTAGAGGAGAAAGTACTGTGCAGAGTGCATTATGACTGCATGCTGGATAATTTAAAAAGAGAAGTAGAAAATGGTAAATATGCACTTCAATGTTTTTGAGTCTTTGAGGGTAGTGAATACAGGGATCAAAATATGATTTTTTTCCTAGGGTCGTCTTAATGCATTATTTTGTGCAAAGTGTAATTGTGGTAGAACTCATCAAGCACTCTAGAGTTAGCAATGGTCTCCATCTGCTTATTTTCAGGCAGAGACATGGTGTATGTGTTAGTTGTGTGCCGTACTCTCATGCAGCAGCCCTAAGTTAAAATTCAGCTTTCTTTTTGTAAGCAGTTATTTCCCTGCCTAATGAATGGGCCATAAATATGCTCTTCTAACTTACTACACTTCTGACTAAATATACAAGTCTATCAATGGGATAATATGTGTACAGTATATTTGAGTCAAGTTTTGAAAGTTAATTTACAGCTTTGCAATCTAGATTATTTATACTCTTTTGCAACAAGTCAAGGAATGCAAGAAATCTTTTATGTCATGATGTATAGAACTGCTTGCATTATCAACATGTGTATGTTTTAAAATGCAGGTAATGGGATTAGTGTGGAAGGTGCCCTCCTCACAGAGCAAGATGTTAATCATCCAAAGCCAGCAAAAAGAGCTCGGACCAGCTTTACAGCAGATCAGCTCCAGGTAGGTTTGGCAATAAAACTATGATTTTTTTAAGCCCCACCCATCCACCGAAAATAATAATAAAAACCCATCTGTGATGATATGCTTAAAGACATTTTTGTAATTTTTAAAAGATTAACCCATACTTTTGTGAAAATCAATTTAGTGAGTATATGACAGTGAATATATGAAACCCTACAATGTTTATCATATTTCCAGTGTCACAACATCATATGATCTAGTCATCTAAGCTTTGTTCCCATAGGATATATTGGTAGCAATATCAAGGTTCCTGATGGCGTTGATCTAACCTCAGTATTTATATCATAAAAAATAATTCCAATAAAGGACAAAAGATCTTGGGACTCAGCAGAAAGAGATAAAATAGCTTGTGAGTCTGTAGAACACAAATGTGTGGATCTTTTTTTAACAAACTGTAATAGAGCTTTTAAAGCACAGTATTGTATGTAGTAAAATCTATTGACTGACTCTACTCAGTACAAATCCCTTTGTGTTTTGGGGAATAGAGGGAGCAATTTTGTAATTTAAGCGCTAGGTGTCTCCTGAAAAGGGAAATTTATTTTCTGCTTAGTTTCCCTAAATACAGTAGTTCTAAATTTGAGCTAGACAAATTATCAAGAAAAGAATTCAATAATTATTCCTTGCTTTATGTTTAATGCTGTACATAGGAGTATCATGATTCTTTCTGGCATTTTTTCAGATAAGAAAAACACGTTTTCTAAAAGATAAGTGTTTGATGTGTTTGTTTTGTATTAAATCAAAGTAAAAGTCATAGAGTAACTACTATATTTTTCTGGATAAATTACATATAGTATCCATTTTAACTGACTTAGAAGACTCTTATGTAATACTAACAAATGAATGAAAAGTCATGTTTTAAATATTCAGCTGTAGTGTTCCAGGATCTGCTGGTATTTTAGATAGATATAGTAAAAATGTTTTTAGGGAGAATCTTTATTCTGAGAATGATTAGGAAAGAAACCTTAACATGACATGGATATTCCAAGGGAAACTGATGTTGGAAAATACTGTAGTGTTAAAATCTGGATCTACTTGAAAGAGATTTCCAAAATGTTTCGTTGTTTTGAATATATTAACTTAGGTGCAAAGTTCCTCATCAATAAGTTGTAAATGAAAGATAAGATAATGGAAAAAAATTTTGTTTGAGCTTATCTGAATGCTTCACTGGGTTAAAATGAAGATCTCATAACACCCTAATTTAACAGCTGGTAGTATGTGTGGGAACCCCTGGAAAAACTACCCAGATACGGAAAGGAATCTTGGTTAAAACGCAGTCTTTAATGTAAATATTTTCTGTGTTTATAAAAATATTCCATGTTTAAAATGGACTATACCCATGAAGACTGGCTACAATTTTGTTAATTATAAGGTTAAATTTAATTTGATATAAAATTTATATTAAAATTTTGGCTGTGAAAATTTGAAACCATTGTAGATGACTGTGCAATCTATAGGCTAATAAATATATATGCTAATTAAATAGCAAAGGAGTAACACTTGTAGAGGTTTGTCTGTCCCAAGTCCTGTTCCAGGTGTTTGATCTATTTTATCTTTTATAATAATTGCTTGGCTTAGGTAGCTTTATCCAAAAAGTTCAGGAACTCCTCTGAAGGCTGAAAACTAGTGGAATTCCAGAGAAGAAATTCACACTCTGATTCCCTTTTGCTTGGCTCTCAGGAGTTTTTAGGTGGAACTTTGGTTAATGAGAGTCCATTCAGTGACAACAACAGTTGCTAAAGCAAGAGTGAGATTCTAAATCTTGTAGACTAAATATTTCATACCACACATGTGCATAGAGTACTGAAACCAATGCCTTGTTGAATGAAAACGTGATCCAAATCAAAGTTTTACAAATGTGTATTAGAACCATGTATTTACAAAAAAGAATAAGAGAGACGATTTCAAGGCATGTGCTCATTTATTCAGAATTTATTAGTGTGTGTTTTATGTCTCAAATAGGTAAAATGAACTTTGTGACAGTTCCTCAGTTGGGCTGTGTAAGTTCACTGTTAAATTGCCTAGTTTTCAGAAAGCTTAGTATAGTTGAGTATTTCTTGCAGCAAAATAATAAAACACCCATACTGGGAGTGACAATAAGTAAAGCAAAACTATTCATATGGTACCAGCTTGGGACAGAATAACATTAATTTGGGAGTAATAAATAAGGTCATTTTCAGAAATCTTTGTTTAGGCACTTATGGGAAGAAAATATAGTTTTGTTTCAAAGGACATAACAGTGTACATCTCAAATATTGTCTCATTTATAGAAATAATGAATTCCTGACAGTATTATGACTTGGTTACTATATACATGGGAAATCTTACTCAGCGATTATTTATATAGAAAATGCCATGGGTATTGTCAGCTTTAAACTTAGCAAATCGTGTTGATCAGCTGCTGCTTTATAGACTGCTAACGTTAAAATGAGTGTCTCCAAAGGCTCACTCGTTGACCGCTATAAAGGAGCTTACAGTAAGAGTAACTTGGGTTCCAGCAGCATTAGTTGAGTGCAGAGTGATGAAACTATAAATTAGTTGAGTCTTTGTGTATTTGTGAGGATGATAATTGATACCATCAAGAAACTGGAAGATCAGTGAACACTTTTCCTACTGATTCTTTAGGGTCTCTTAATTCTGCACAATGCTGACCTCTATGATTTGATGAGAAATTGCATTAAAAAATGTAATTTGGCTCCAGTATTAAACTTATACACTGGAAACATGTTTGTAAATGTGTTTTTATTTCACAAAACCATTAGTAATAACTTTACAAACAAATTTCAAATATCTGTTCAGGTTTTCAGTATAGAAAACATAATTAACTTGTTCATCGTTTTTGTTGATGTTATATGCTAAACTGTGTAAGAACATAGTTCTGTTTGCACTTGAAGATTAAGGAAATAAGTTTGGAGTAGGAAAGTGAATAATAAAGTGAATAAACCAAGGGAGATTATAAACTTATGGGCCATTGTCTATTTCTAAAAAAGCAAAAACCCACGTATTATTTATAGTAGATTTGAGATAGTTGGATGGGAAGCCAGGAAAGATAAATTATTGAAGTCACTAATCAGAATGATCTTAACTGAAATTAGTGAACCTCCTGAGTTCTCCTGGAACAACACTGGCTGTTCTGCCCCACTGGACATTGTCTTTAGATTTTCTGCACATTGTCACGTTACATTCTGTCATAAATGTGTATGTGCATATTATGTGACAAGAAAAGAGTTAAACTCCTGGGAGCTTGAGAAATAAGACATTCCTCTTATATATTCAAGGCACTTACATCCTGTTACAAGGAGCAGACTTTGATTTCACTGCCCTGTAACAAGTGTGGTGGCCGAAGGGCATAGTCTGTGAGGACTTTGGTGGAGAAGGCAGTTTAGTTTGCCTATATGTAAGCCTGCACGGATCAGTGATGCTTTATGTCTTTGTGTAGCTTGGTGACCACCATCTGTGCTTGTGCACCTGTAGCATCCTGTTGCAGGCCAAAGTCCCCTTCTTCATTCTTCATTACACATTCTTTTGTTTTGTAATTGTCCTAGAATTGATTGAGTTTTAGTAAGAAAAATCCCAAATATCTCATTTGGTTCTTAGAAAGAATCAAAAGCCCTTGGCGTGTGTTTTTATTCTGGTACTTCGTCCTCCTCTTTACTATTTTCGCACTAAGTTTTAGTGTAGTTAGCCATTGATATGTCAGTCAGTATTTTCCTTCCAGGAAATTAAAATCAGGAACAGTTTTGTTTTTCTTGTTGCTGTTGTTTTGGTTATTGTTTTTCTTTTTTCTTCTCATGTTTTGCTATCTCATAGCAACTTGGCATGGTGATTCTGCTCCAGAGCTTCATGTCAGAATCATCTGAGTGTTTTCAATAGACATTTACACTCTAGTAAATTCTTATTCAATGGACTGATGTCTTGCTTTAAATCCCTGTTATTCCCAAACCACATGTGTCTAAAACAATGGTAGGGCCTTTTTAGTTAACTAGTATATAGTTAACTAACTATATACTATGTTGAGAAGTGTGCCACTTTCAAACCAATGAAAATTGTATTGGGCATTAAGCCCATTTTGCTCAGTAAAGGTTGTAGATAAATGATATTTTCCCCATTTTATTCTATGATGCTGGAAATTTTACAAAATGAAAAAGCCAGTCAAACTGCCTATGTGGATTTTAACAATGCAAAAAAGAAAAACACTTTTTTAAAATTTATTTTTATAGGCAAATTTACAGAGAGAAGGAGATAGAAAGATCTGTCCACTGGTATTCTCCCTAAGTAGACACGATGGCCAGAGCTGAGTTGATCAGAAACCGGGAGCCAGGAGCTTCTTCCGGGTCTCTCACTTGGAAGCAGGGTCTCAAGGCTTTGGGCTGTCCTTGACTGCTTTCCTAGGCTACAAGCAGGGAGCTGGATGTGAAATGGAGCATCCAGGATGTGAACCAGGCCCATATGTGATCCCAGTGTGTTCAAGGCCCTTGCCTTTAACCCATTTAGCCATCACACCAGGCCCAAATATATTTATTCTAACAGAACTGAAATGCAATATTTTATGTTGAAATGGGTTGTTTTTCTAAAATCTGGACATATGGGAGGGCATTTGGCTAGGATATCCTTATTCCATGTCAGAGCGCCTGAGGTCCAGTCCTGGCTGTGCTCTAGGTTCCAGTTAACTGCCAGTGCAGACCTGAGGAGACCTCAAGTGATGGTTCAAGTCATTAGATCTGTGTCTTGGGTAGACCCGGTTTGAATTCTTGGCTTCTGACATTTCCTGGGTACTGGAGGCACCTGAGGGTGAACTGGCTGCTCATACTTTGTGGACAGTGAATTATAGAGGACCTGATGGACAGAATGGAGAAAAGTTATTTTTAAGAATTTCGATATAATGATTTACATATAAACTTTTAAAATTTGTGTTCCTTTTCAATTTTACATCCTTGTCCATATTGATTTTCAAGTACTAAAATACAAATATTGCATTTTATGCATGCATGTGTTAACCTCTCATGATTAAAATGCAGACGACTCAATTGTCTATTTTTAGTACTTACTGTCTGTGTCTTTTTTCAGGTTATGCAAGCACAATTTGCTCAGGACAACAACCCAGATGCACAGACTCTCCAGAAACTGGCAGAAAGGACAGGATTGAGCAGACGTGTGATACAGGTGATTATTCAAAAGTTAAAAGAGACTAAACATTGCAGTTCTAGGCCTTTATGGGTGTACGTTGTTTTTGTAGAAAAAAATGTCAAAATATAAGCTTCCCATTTTAGGTTTCCACTTGTCAAATGAGTGTGAACATTTTACTTTATTCAATGCTCTCAGCAATCCTAAGCTCCTCAGACTAAAACAGAAACTGAAGTTCCAAGTTACGTCTGCTTCCATGTAATTTTCTGCTTTTTCTGTGATTATGTCTGTATGTGTAGGGGATGCTAATGGTCTTTGCCAAAGTAGAGTGGAGGTAGTGATGAGGGGACAAAGCTAAGACGCATGAGTTAGAGCAAGTTTATTGTAATGTAGAATTTATATTTGGAAACTGGAAAATAACATTGTTGAAGTCGAAGCTAGAAGGGTCTATCATGCACAGTTCTCTGCTGAGAAGACACGACTCCTGATTTTAGGAAGAAAGGCCCATGACAGTACAGGGGAAGAATTCGACTTTGGAGTGGGTTGAGGTAGATCATTCAGTTGAGATACACAGCAAAGTCATGATTTTTCAAAGACTTAAATAGGTTAGCAACCTGGAATTTATTTCAGGAACATTTTATGTTTTATCTATTGCACACTAATGGCAGATTCTTGATGGTATAGAGAGAAGAAAAGGACTTGCAGTTTATACTGGAGAAACCGAGAAGATGACTCTTAAGTTTGAAGTCAGAGTATCCATAGGACTGGTGCTGTTGGCAGGAATATTGTCAAAAGAAAGCGGGGAGGGAGATGGAGTTCATTTTAGTTGTGCCAGGCATGTAACGATGATAGCAGTTGGGTAAGTAAACAGAAATTTGAAAGCATAAATAGGATTCAGATAAAGAGATCTATGCCATGAGATTGAATGAGATCCTTTAGAAATAGGTAATGGAGTGTAAGAAGTGAAGCATGGAATGCAGAGAGGTAGGAAGTGCTGTGTGAATGAGACTTGAGAGTCTGAGCCAATCGGCGGACCTGATGAAAAGCAGTAATCGGCTCTGGAAAAATAGGATAGATTCAAGCAGGGGGTGGCCAGCTGTGTCAGGTTGTTACAGAGAGATAAAGGAAAATACGAACTAGTTCTAAGTATTTAAGTTTAAAAAAGTCTGAAAAATTAAAGCAAAGGACTATAATCAGCAAGATGAAATTTACTGTTAGGGAAGAAGTAAATAGCTTTGTTTTATGTATGCTTTAGGTTGGCCGGCTGAAACACAGGTGTTTATTGTTCGGTAAACCTGAAGTGTTTTATAATGAACAAATCAGCACATGTACATAGAAGCAGATGAGAAAGACCTGTAAGTTCTCTGGAGACCTGGATTCTTGGTCGGTTGCCATGTAATGAGGCATTGCAGGCAGATCCAGCCACCTTTATGTTGTTCAGATGTCCCGAGTATGGCTTTCTGTTTTGGAGTGCAAAATTCTGAAAAGGCCACCAGGGAACATGTCTAAACTAGTGCTGCCTTTAAAGAACGCCTGCCCAAGCTAAAAAAGATTTAGAAATCATGGCCTTTTATTAAAGGCAACAGGGTTGCTTGTTTGGAGATAAGGAGGTCTGGAGGTGGTAAAGAAAGAAACAGTATGTACAGAGCAGCTGTCTTTGTGGGAGAGGTGAGGGGATATAGGAAGGGTGAATTTCTCAGCGTGAACAGCTATGAAAATGGGGAAACTACCTCTGGAGACTCAAGTTTCCTTTATGACCTGGTTTCAGATTCAATGGGTTAATTATTCCTTCTTATTAAAGACTATACATTCATATCAAAGACAGCTGTGGTCAGATGCATGACTGCTTCGAAGTTGAAAGCAGAGCATCTTTTCTTCTTGCTTCAAGGAGTAAACACCCCAGTTATCAGTTGTGTAGTTTTTATGTGTTTAAGTCACCAGAATTGCAGTCATATTAATTTGGTCCCAAGTGCTAAAACTTGGAAAATATACTTTTTGATGTTTGATTTTTACTATGTAGAGACTGAGTATTGAATAGTTTTAATAAAGTGGAAGCAAAAAGAGTACTAACATCACAAAAATGCATTAAAAGTTATTCAAAATACTCATAGAAGGACTGTGACTGTGGCATAGCTGGTTCAGGCCACTGCCTGTGATACTGGCATCCCATTTGGACATTGCTTTGATTCCCAGCTGCTCCACTTCTCATCCAGATCCCTACTAATGTGCCTGAAAAAGCAGTAGGTCTTGGACCAAGTACTTGAGCCCCTGACGTGTGTAGGAGACCTGGATGATATTTCTGAATTCACCGTGGCCCAAGCTGGGCAGTTGTGATCATTTGGGGAGTGAAGCATCAGACAGCACATTTCTTCTCTGTAATTCTGCCTTTCAAATAAATCAATAGATACTTTTTAAAAAGTGAATAGAAAAATGAAATTGTTTGGTGCAAAACCAAAAACAAAAAAACCTTAAGTCCATGCATTGTTGTTCCATAAAATAATTTCTGTGACATTTTTGAAGAGTCTTGATATATATAATTTCATTTTTTCACACAAAAAGGAACTGCTATTTCTGTTTTATAAAAACATTTAAAGATACGTTGTTGGTGCATGTGTGTAGGTATTTTAAACACACAACATTTTGCTAGTCTTAGCAATTAAATGCTGTGGTCTCAAGCAGTAAACACAATCTCCTGTCCCAGCATCCTTCCTAGCAAGAGGCACAGCACTCAGCTGGAAGGAAAGTTTTGATTGCTCTGATCGAATCAACATGCATAGTAGCATCAACTAAAAATAAGAAATAATGATCTGTGTGAATGTTCCCCCGTTTATTCATAATGCAAAGTCTACGTAGTGAGACATTAATAGGGTGCATTGTCATGCTGCAATAATAGACGCATGCTTTACGGTAACAGTCTGAACTGAGACACAGGTGCTCTGCACGTCATCTTTCAGATAGGGAAATTATGAGTTGTGGATCTTACAGACTCACGGGAAAGCATTTCTACTTCTTCCAGTTAATTCTGGGAATATTCTTCCATATTAGGATCTATATTAAACACAGCACAGCTTATTTTCAAAGATGCTGCTGTGAACAATGTTGTGTATACCTTGCAATCTCAGGATAGATTTTGCTGGAAATGACATTGTTATTTCAAAAAGTAAAGCACTTTAAGGTCTTTTTTTTTTTTAAGATTTATTTTTATTGGAAAGGCAGAAAAAGAGAGGAGAGGCAGAGAGGAAGATCTTACATCCAATGGTTCACTCCCCAAGTGGCCACAATGTCTGGAGCTGAAGCAATCCTAAGCGAGGAGCCAGGAGCTTCTTCTGGGTCTCCCACACGGGTGGAGAGTCCCAAAACTTTGGGCTGTCCTTGACTGCTTTCCCAGGCCACAAGCAGGGGGCCGGATGGGAAGTAGAGTTGCCGGAACTAGAACCACCGCCCAATATGGGATCCCAGTGCGTTCAAGGCTAGGACTTCAACTACTATGCTATGGCACTGGGCCCTAAGGTCTTCATTAAAAAGATAGAATTGACTTTCAGGGGCTGATGGTATGAGTCAGCAGATTAAACCACCATTTTTGATGCTAACTGACCATATTAGAGTGCCAGTACAATTCCAGGAAACTGCTTTTAATCCGTCTTCTTACATTCCTGGGAAGGCAGATGAAGATAGCTCAAAGCTTGGGCCCTTAAGGCAGACTAGGCTGGAGCATCTGCCTTGGGCCTGGCCTGGACTTTGCCATTGTAGCCATTTAGGGAGTGAACCAGCAGAAGGAATTTCATACTATATTTCCATTTTTCTATCACCCTGTGTTTCAAATAAATACATATTTTTAAAAATTTCATGGAAAACAATTTAAAAAGTAGTTTTTATTTTTTAGATTGCTTTCCAGAAAGTTCACATTAATTTATTCTGCCAGGATCGTATGCAAGACTATTTTTTCCTCTCATGGTAACACTGGGTACCAAATTCTTCCAATTTGATGATCAGGGGAAAAAAAAGCTCATTGCTTCTTTTTCTTTTCTTTCTTTTTTTTTAAGTGAATGTGAACACATTTATTTGCTTGTTTTTAATTTAAAATATTTACATTTTTAGACTTCTTTCATATTAATTCACTGCCTTTCTCCATATGTTACTGTTTTACATATTTATATTCTTTGAAAGTCAGAGAGACAGATACAGAAAACCTCCCTTGGCTGCCTTGCTACCCGCAGGCACACAGCATCTAGGGCTGGGCCAGGCTAAGCTAGGATTTGGAATCTCAGCCTGGGTCTCCTGCATGGGTTTGAGGGATCCGGCTGCTTTAACCCTCACCGCTGTCCCCTAAAATGTGCATTATCTGGGGGTTCTGAATTAGGAGCAGACCTCATAATACAATCCCAGGCATTTATCTGGGTTCCGTGCCTGCTCCAGGGATTTTTTTGTTAGTTCTATCATGTTAAACTTTAATGGTTCATCAGTTTCCTTTTAATTTTTTCCACAAAGAACTTTTACGTTTTCATGCATTCAAATCTCTCAACTTGGCAGATTTGGCTCTTGTTATCTCTATCTAGAAAGTGTATCCGTGTTGATTTTTATTTTCTTAACCGTTTATGACTTCAGTTGTTTATACCTGGACTTTAGATTACCTGGATTGGTTGTATGTGAGATTTGGATTTATCCTATGTTTTTTTCTTCCCTAGTGATTAACCAGTTTTCCCCTCAACAGCAAGTCAGACTTTCCTAGTAAGTTAAAATTCCACATTCCTTCATACATTAAATTCCTCTGCCCCCCCTTTTTTTCTTGGGCATTCTAAAGGGGTCAAGTGTTTAGTTTGTTCTCTGCAGTATGTCCATGAGGGCTGTTTTCAGCTTATGTAATCCTATGTTTTAGAGCACATTTACAGTGTGTTGCTCAGGAAAATTTTAACTGTTGGTAGATGTTTGCAGTGCAGAAGGAGGTTGTATGCTGGCTAGGGGATTTGTATTTGGACTTCTGAAACTGGGTAGCATTTATTTCAAAAGTTAATTTTCTGAAGGCTAGAATCCTGGACTATATTTTCACCCTGCAAGTAATGGGACACTTGTGTTTACAAACCCCTCTCTCTGCTTAATTGCCTACAAATAATGTTTATGTCTTCCCTTCTCCCCCAAGATTTATGTGCTTGAAAAAGTGACAGAGGAGGGGACCGAGAAAGAGGTCCACTGGTTTACTCGCTAGGTGGCCCAAGCAGTCAAGGCTGGACCAGGCTGACCCCAGAAAACCTGATTCCCATCTGGGTTTCCCATGTGAGTGGCAGTGAACCAAGTTCTTGAGCAGTCCTACGTCGTTTTCCCAGTTAAATTAGCGGGAAGCTGGATGGGAAACAGAGAAGCCTGGATGTAAACTGCCAGTCTCAGGCAAGCAGCTGTATTTGCTGTGCTACAGGTCCCGCCTCTAGATAATCTTTTAAAAAAGCTATGTTAATCAGTATCAAGGTAGTTGCTCTCCTGTAAAAAACACCTTCAAATTCTGGAATTTTGTTTCAGTCAAAGGGTAGTATCTGATTTTTGATTTTCTTTTGTTTCCCCCCTTTTTCTAAAAAAACCAAATAAATCCTAGCCAATGTATCGAAGACAAGAAGATACCTTGATGAAACTCTGGGAAAAATAAGGTGTAAATGTTTTGTGTGGCTCTGTAGGATGTACCAAGATAACAATCTTGGTACTGTAAAGGGAGAGAGAGTACTAGGAGGTAGCTGTGCTAGGTTACAGGTTGGAGAATGTTGGAGAATCTCTGAGAGGAGTTGGTCATACAAGTGGTGGCTATTTTTTTTACCGAGCTTGTGGAATTGTGATCAAAGGTGTTAATAAGATCTTTATGCAGGCATTTGTCTCGGGCTCTAACAGTGCAGAGGATTAAGGAGGAGGGAGAGGCTGTGCCTCTCAAATGCTATGCTGGTGTGGCAAGTGACAACTGAACCCACTGCACTTCGGCACTAGCGCCATTCCTTTCTTTTTAGTCCCTTAAGTTTCTACTTTCCAGTCCTCTAATTCTGAGTCACAAGGCCTGGATGTGTCTTTGAAATCAGTCCAACATCTTCTTATGAATGTCAAGCTTATTTCTGTTCTGCATCAATCAGTCATGGCTTCCGTGTACCAATAAGTTCGTACCCACCAGCTCTGAATTAATACTTATGCCCCTCACCTTTCCCTGGCCTTTCATTCTGCTTTCACATGTTTATGTCCTAATTTACTTAAACTTTTAATCACCTCTCTCTTACAATGAATTGTTCAGATGGATGGCAAGTAAGTGCTAGAATGTTTAGAGTAACAGTCTATGGTCAAGTGTTGTCTTACAGTGGGGAATCCAAGCACGAACAGCCTGGAAGTATTCTAGGCAGTCAGCTCCTACTTACCTCGATCTAGATGTAAAACTTCAGTTGCTCTGAAATTGCTGTCTTTATTTCTGCAGTGGAGCAGGCAACAGGGTGGTTAACGCTTTGCAGGTTGTGAACTCTTTCACCAGTGCTTATGTTTGTATTTAATTCTACTTAAATATTACCAGTATTTTTTTTATTATACACCTGACCTTAAAGAACAGCCTATGTATTCACTAAGAGAAATTAAACTCAGCAGGTTAAAATGCAACTGGAATAACTGAATCAAGAGGTTGTGGAAAGCTTTAAGTTCTCACTAGGGATTTTAGTCATTTCAACAAGGATTTAAAAGAAGTCCAGCAGGTGTCTAAGAATACATTTAACAGTGTTTTTAAAAGGTTCTGATTATGGCTTTTTTAGAAACTCAAATACCAATAGTAAAAGAACCAAGGAGATGTGTCTGGAATTCACGTCTCCCACCATACCCCTTGCCCACCTTCCCACCACAACTATAAGGTGCTGCTTTAGTGTAGACTTAGAATTATTACTTAATAAAATACTCATTTGAAAGGCAAAGTGACAAAGACAGATCTTCTGCTTGCTGGTTCACTTTCTAAATTGCCAAAGTAGCCTGTTCTGGACCAGGCTGAAGTCAGGAGCCGGGAAAACCATCCGTGTGTTCTGTGTGGGTGGCAGGAGCCCAAGTGGTTGGGACATCATTATCTACTGCTTTCCCAAGCACATTAACAGCTAGAATGAAAGTGGGTGAGCCAAAATACTAACTGGCATTCTAATATGGGAGGCCAGCATCATAAATGTCATATTTACATATTGTGCCACAATGCTGGTCCCTAGAATTGTCTTATCAAGTAAATCACCAGATGGGGTCATTGCAATGCCTCTATTGGTTAATCATCTGCCTGCAAGCCTTGGCATTCCATGTGGGCACTGGTTCATCTCCCATCTGCTCTGCTTTTGATCCAGCTCCCTGCTTATGGCCTAGGAAAGCACTGGAGGATGGCTGAAGTCCTTGGGCCACTGAATGGGAGACCCAGAAGAGGCTCTGGCTCTTGGCAGCCATTTGGGGAGTGAACCAGCAGATGGAAGATCTTTCTGTTTCTCCTCTATAAATCTGTCTTGCCAATAAATATAAATAAATCTTTGAAAAACTCCTTTCTTCTTTAAAAATAAAAACAAAACAAAAAAAGTCACCAATGAATTATCCCCTTGGAAAGAATGATTCTTATTCTTTAGGCTAAAATGTTTCTCTTCTCACTACAGAACTTTTTTTTTTTTTAAGATTTATTTTTTATTATTTTTTCATTGGAAAGGCAGATATACAGAGAGGAGAGACAGAGAGGAAGATCTTCCATCCGATGATTCACTCCCCAAGTGAGCGCAACGGGCCGATACTATGCTGATCTGAGGCCAGGAGCCTCTTCCGGGTCTCCCACGCGGGTGCAGGTTCCCAAAGCTTTGGGCCGTCCTCGACTGTTTTCCCAGGCCACAGGCAGGGAGCTGGAAGGGAAGCGGGGCTGCCGGGATTAGAACCGGCGCCCATATGGGATCCCAGGCGTGCAAGGCGAGGACCTAACCACTTGCGCCACCGCGCTGGGCCCTCACTACAGAACTTTTAACAGCTATATATATGTCTACACACATACCTATATGTATACTGTGTTTACACAATAAAGTATCTATTGAGATTGCATTCAAAATTGACTTGGTGATATACCAAAAACTGATGTATGACCTAGTTTCCTGTCTTTTTCCCCCCATCCGCTTGCCAACCCAGGTCTGGTTTCAGAATTGTAGAGCTCGCCACAAGAAACATGTCAGTCCTAATCACTCATCCTCTGCCCCAGTCACAGCAGTCCCGCCCTCCAGGCTGTCTCCACCCATGCTAGAAGAAATGGCTTATTCTGCCTACGTGCCCCAAGACGGGACAATGCTGACTGCGCTGCATAGTTATATGGATGGTAGGTATCCCAACATTTAACTGCTGTCTCCCAAACAATTACTGTTCAGTAACGTCAATAGTAGATTATTGCCACAATTCACATTTTCAGATATTGCTTTCATAGTAACTGAGAAATATTGTAGGGGGTACAGGAGGCAGCAAAACTAAGTATTTTTATTTCTATGATTACACATCAAGGAACAAGTTAGGCAACCGTGTCACTGCTAAAATGCAAATATTGTTAATGGTAATTCTTAGTGCTAGATTTTTAAAAATTTTCACCTGATTGATATATGTTTAAATAATTTATTTTCCCAAGATTAGATAAAGTATTCATACTTGAATCTTTAGCTTGGAGTTTACTGAGTTTTGTGAAACAAGCAGTTTTTAGTTGAAATATATGTGTATAGTGTAAATAAGTACACAGCTTGATTAATGAATAAGCATAATCTATGAATGTTACCCAGAAGTGGGACACAACACCCCAGGAGCTTCTCTTCTGCCTTCTCCTGGTTATCTTTTTCTTCCATACTAACACAGCTGATTCCTAAAACTCAGCTTTATTTTTGCCTTTCCTAGAGTTATATTTTAATTATACCGTATAGAATGTATTCTTGAGTCTCACTTCATTATTGCATTATTCATGAGATTTCATCTGCATTGTTGCAAGAATTATGAAATTCTGTAGGAGTTTGCCACACGGTGTTTTATTGTTTATAGACATTTACTTTTCATCCAGTTTGGGCTTCTTATGAACATGCTGCTACACTTTATTGTACATGTCTTTTGATGGACATTAGTTCACAATTGTATTTGTTATGTGGAGAGGGGTGTACAAGTCAACACAATGCTCACTTTAGTCAGTTCTGCAAGACTGTTTTCCTTAGTGATTGACCAGTTTGCATTTTCCAAAGCAGCATATGAGTTCCAGGAGCGTGCATCCTCACCAACACTTAATGCAGTGACTTATTTTGCCCAATTTGGTGATTGCTGGGTGCTTCTCATTATAACATGCTTTTCTTTCATGAGTGAGGAGATAGAGAAGCATTTGTATTGGGTGTTTTTTAATATTCTCTTTTATAAAGAGCCTGTGCATATCTCTTACCTGCTTGTTGGTTTCTTTGACCTACTTTGCTTCTTGATATAATCTGAGTATGTAGCTCTTGGCTAATTGTGTCAAATTATCTTCTACTCAGTGGCTTAGCTTTTCCTACTCTTAATGGGATGTTTTGTGGAGCATCGGTTTCTATTAATGCAGTTCATCAGCTTTATGGCAGGGCTTTTTTTGTTGACCTGTTCAAGAAATTGTTCCTATGCAAAGATAGGGAATTTAGACTTATGTTATCTTAACAAAATTAAACGTGATGTCTGTTGGGAACTAAATTTGGTAAGTGGTATGACATGTGAAAGTCATACTTTTTTGCTTTATTGATGAAAATATAGACTTCCCAGCTCCCTTGCAAAACTACCCTTTTTATAAGCGTTTATCTATATATCATATACCAATTTTGTACCATCTATTCTTAGCTTCTTTTTATTAGCCATTTTAATTGTGCTTGCCCTATATCTGATGCCTGATACTACAAGTTTTCCATTTTTATTATTCTAAGTTACATTGTCTATTCCTGACCGTGTGCATTTTCCGTAAGTTTTACCAGCTTATCAATTTCCATTCAAGAAAGGAAGAACAATTTAAGATTGTTCAAGTTGCTTTTTGCATGTTAGAATTCTGTATTTATTAAACTTACACATCTTCTGCTAAGTTGATTATTTGTTTTGATGTAGTCATAATATTTCTACTTTATGTAGAAAGATGCCTTGGAAGGTTTTTTTTTTTGTCCCTGCATTTTGAAGATATGATTAAATTGTTTTCTGATTTGTTTCTTTGATTCACTTATAGTTAGCTAATTGGCCTGACACCATATATTGTTAATATAAGCTGTTGAGTTTCTTGCTTTTTAGAAAATGAATTGTCTTTTTTTTTCTTTTCTGAGATTTTTGTGTGTGTTTTGGACATTTTATTATAATGTGCCTAGTTATGTTTCTGGACTATATAGTTGAATGTGTTTCATTATGGAATATTCTCAGCTTTTTTCACTTCAAATATTGTTTCTTCCCCATGAAGAAATTTCATACTTTCTGGACTTTTGGCTTTCCATGCTGCAGTCTTTGTCTTTGCTTCTGGCCTACCTCTTGGCTCACTAAATCTGAGACTATAGAATTCATTCATTGAGAGCTTGTGTTAGTTATTGTGTTTTTTGAATTTACAAATTTTATTTCTGTGCTAAAAGCATCTATTTTGTTGCTGCATTCCTTAAACTACAGTTCTGTTAATAGTTACACTAACATTGGTGTTAGTCTTGAACTTAGTGGGGAACTGGACAAGAGGGAGATCGGCTCCAGTCCTCAAAGAGCTGGCATTATCTTTTTCACTACTCCTTGGATTTCATCTTTTGGTTATTCCAAAGGAAAACCTGTTATTTGTTTGGTTTTCTTTCTTTTGTATTTATTTATTTATTTTTAGCTAGTTTCTTCTCATTAAGCTTTAATCTCTAATTTTTGTTTCCCGCCACCTAGTTGAAGCCTAGCTTCCGAGTGCTCCAGTGCACTTCTCAGCCTATGAGATGTTCCTTTTGTTTTAAAATTGTCCCTGTTCTTGGTGGGGTATGCTGGAGTGGGGATAGAATTATTTTCATTTCCTCCTTGCTGTGTTGTGGAAGTACCCATCAATACGGTGTTTTTCAGATACCTTCTAACAGATTTCTAAAAATGTTGTCACAACTTTTTGTTTCTCTGAACAGGACACTTAATTTGAAACAGCATAGCCCTTCCTGGAAGCTGGAACTTAATTGTAAAATTTTTGTTAAAAAAAATTAGAGGCTGTACCATCTTTGCCAGTTACTTACACTAGCGTTAAAATATGAATGTTCTCCTGAAAGACTGTGGTTATTGCTTGAATTGAATATTTTGAGGAAGGAGGTATTTAATCATTAAAAAGGCAACTTGAGAGATCATCCTATAGAGAGACACTTTCATGATAAAGCTAATCTCTGCAGACAAAGGTGTGTCTTTATAGCTGCAGAATAAAGTGCAGTGAATGGGGTATGGATGGAGGACGTTAAGGTGACATAAGTGTGTGTCCCCAAAGATTTGGGAAGTAAAACTGTTTCCGACTTCCTGGTTAATATTGTACTTACTATGCTAAGCAAGTGAATGCTCCCACTGAAATCAGTGCAGTGAGTGTAGCTTAGTGCCTTCAGCACTAATGAAAAGAAAGTATATTGCCTTGAATTGTTTGTTTGTTTTTAAAACAATTTTATTCACCCTAGAAAGCAAAACTGATCCACAAATTTTGTTTTTCTATTTTATAGCTCATTCACCAACAACTCTTGGACTCCAGCCCTTGATACCCCATTCAGTGACACAACTGCCAATAAGTCATACCTAATTCCTTTTTTTTCAGGGATAGAAACAAATGATTAAGGATATAAACATGTCATTTATTATGTATAAAGTATCATTAAAAAGATATTAATGTTAATTTTTTATTTAACACCCAAAGCATTTCCAACATCACTTTGCTGCCCAGGTATGTATCTATAGTTGGCCTGCAAGACACTTTTCTCAATTACTCTTCTTTTTTTGTAAAGCTCATGTTTACAAGAAAAAAAATCAAACCCTTTTCTTTTGTATTGTCTGGAAATAGTTCACTCTAGTATGTATCTGTTAATTTATTTGTCATCAAAAGAGCACTTTGCCTAAGAGAAAGGACTGACAAGTGTGCAAAATGTTTACAAACTTTTGTGAAATTGTAGTTTATCATTAGTTTGTATCTGTAAGTTATTGTTATAAATATTACCTGTATTTTTTGTTATATACAACTTTATACTTTGAAGCTTGTATCTGTGAATTTGCAATCGAAATTTATTTTGCCAATGTTTTCTGAATGAATAAAACTTCTGTTGTAGCATGCCATGCAAACACATTATTGTGTTTGTCATTGATGTATTATGGCTGTAAATAACACTATAGTTTAATAAACCCACCATTCTAAGTTTATTAAACATTTCTGTTCTTGTGAAAGTTTCAGCAAACTTGTCTTCTGTGTGTATGTGGGTGTGTGCGTCCCTGTGTGTGTGTTGGTGATAAGTTGCTTCAAGTCTCTTTAAGGTCTAATAACTCTTAGTTTACTTTTATTTATTTGAAAGATAGCATGGTAGAGAAATATCTCCACAGATTCCTACAACAGCCAAGTCTGGCCAGGTACAAGCCAAGAGCCACAAACTCTACCCTAGTCTTCCACACGGGTAGCAGGGGTCTGAGTACTTGGTCATCACCTGTCTTCTCTCATGAGGTGCACTGGCAGAAAGCTGGATCACAGATGGAGGCAGGACTGAATGTGGTAGTGCAACCCACCTGTCACAACACTCACTCCTAATTCTTAATTTTTCTGTTTTAAACTACTTTCCTTTTTTAAAAAAAAATTATTTATTTTTATGGGAAAGTCAGATTTTATAGAGAAGGAGAGGAAGATCTTCTATCCGCTGATTTATTCCCCAAGTGGCCACAATGGCCAAAGCTGAGCCAATCTGAAACCAGGAGCCAGGAGTCCCCTCGGGGTCTCCCACATAGATGCAGGGTCCCAAGACTTTGGGCCATCCTTGACTGCTTTCCCAGGCCACCAGTAGGGAACAGGAATGGGAAGTGGTGGGGCAGCTGGGACATAAACCGATACCAATATGGAATCCCAGTGCATGTTAGGCCAGGTCTTTTGCCACTAGGCTACCATGCCGGATCCGTAATTCTGAATTTTAAAAAGTCATTTTGTTTTGAGCTGTTTGACAAGTACGTATTTTTTTAACAGATGTATTTATTTGAAAGGCAGACTGTTAACGGAAGTAGATAGAGAGCGAGCAAGCTTTTTTCCTGTGTTCCATGCCCCATATGGCCCTCATAGCTTTAACTGGCACAGGCTGAAGCCAGCAGTCAGGGGCCAGAAGTCCCACTGGGTCAAAGACCAAAATGTTTGCTTCATCATTTGCTGCTTTCCTTAAGTGGTATTGGTAGGGGCCTGGATTGCAAGTGGAACAGCAGATACTTGAATTCAAACACCAGCACCTCAACTGGTAGATTATTTAGATATACCACAATGCCGGCGCTCTGAGTTACACTTTAGCAGAAAACTTATTTGTATGTGATTAATGTAACAAACCCTTGAGAACATCTAATTTGGCAAGTGAGCTCTTTTAAGCTTGTTGATGAATTCATATAAGGGAAAATAATACTTTTCAAAAATTACCTTTGGGGGGCCCGGTGCGATAGTGTAGTGGTTAAAGTCCTCGCCTTGCACGTGCCAGGATCCCATACGGTCGCTGGTTCTAATCCGGGTGGCCCCACTTCCCATCCAGCTCCCTGTTTGTGGCCGGGGAAAGCAGTGGAGGACAGCCCAAAGCCTTGGGACCCTGCAGCCTCATGGGAGACCCTAAGGAGCTCCTGGCTCCTGGCTTCAGGTTGGCTCAGCCCCAGCCATTGTGGCCGCTTGGGGAGTGAACCATCAGAGAGGAAGATCTTCCTCTTTGTCTCTCTTTCTCTACGTATATCAACCTTTCCAATAAAATAAATAAATCTTTTTAAAAAATGACCTTTAGGGTATTCCAAACCAGAAATTAAATAGGGACCATAGGGTTTATTTTTTTAAGGGTAAAGAAAAGCTGCAGATACTTGGGATTTCAAAGAGGTTTCTGTAGAAAACCCTTCAAGTTTTTTTTCTGATTCTGAATGCTAAAAAGCTGAGCTTCAGAACTTATCCTTCATGGTAGTGGACACCTCTGTATTACAAAAGGAAGTTGTGCCACCGTTAATACATTTTGAACTTAAACAATTTAAATTTACTTTTCTTATCTTTCAAATCCTAATCAGTGGAAAGAAAAGTGGCGAGAAATTTTGAGAACCTATACAAGTTTAAGGTTTTAAATTTGCATCTGGCTGAAGACTGGAAATAATAGCGAAGTATGTGTGATTCTGTTCTTGTAATCATAAATGCAAACAGAAAGCAAATCATGTGGGCGGAAGTAGCCAACTGCATGCCTCAAGCCAGAGCAACAAACATAAGCTTCACTGTAAGAGGAAGGAAGGAAACATCGTGTTTTTTTTAAACCTGCTACTCTAGTTAGATTCCTTTTGGTCAAAAGTCTATCTGATAGACTAACTTGAAAAGTTGCTCTTAATCTGAGGTTTTGGTCTACCTTTCTGAGGCATGAAGTGATGAGGTCAGCTTTGCCTTTAGCGGATGTCGAAGAAAACTCTCGAGTCTAGCCAAACTCTGCACTGTTAGCAGCTTCTGGCTCCCCCCAGCTGGATAGAATTGGCATCCTTTAGCTGGGGAGGTGCCTGTGGTGCATATTCTTCCTCTCTGCTGCGTTTTTCCTGTGCTCATCATCCTCTGACCCTGCTCAGAAACCACATCACTGCCCCCTCTGATTCCAAAAATGAATGCCAAAGTTGGAGGGGAATTTTCACAACAGAGGTTCAAAGCTATCAAAATTAATGAGATGTCTGTATCCTGCACATAAAACTGTTAATATTAAAAATGGAAAGATGAAAGTATAAATGTGAAGTACTGAAAGTGATAGGGATTTAAGTACATGACCATGTTCTCATCTCTTTTGGAAATCAGAGATCCTAATTTTAGAACTTAAGAATTTGGAAAAAAAAAATGGAAATAGATCCATGCTAGCCATATTTAGTGTGACCATGCATGTACAATACTTGTTTGAAATTGAGGGTGATCACATAGATTTTGGGAGAATTGGGTAAAATTTTATTGCTGGAGTAGAAAGACCTGAAAAAAAGTTAATGTCTCTTAGATTTTAATAGGCTGTGGGCCATCACCAACATATCACAAATACTCTTCAAGGTGGGAATTTACCCTAGCAGGTAGCTCAGGACACTGCGGTTTGCTTCTGAGTTCTTACTCCTGACTCCAGCTTCCTGCCAGTGCAGACTCAGGCAGTGCTGATGGTGCTCGTTACTGAGTTCCTGTTACGCATGTCAGACACCTGACTTGAGCCTGTCCCCATCCTTGCTCTTGCTAGCACTGGGGAGTGAACTAACATGGAGGGGCATGCTCTGTCTGTATCTGAATATCAATTTCTGCCTCTCAAATAATTAATCGTTTTTTTTAATCCCTTTGAAGAATTGAAACTAAATCTGCTGATACTCCTTTAGGTGATTCCTGTTATTGGACAAGGTAGCATTTACCTTTAACAGCAATGTTTTTGTCCTTAGAATTTTGTATTACAATAAGTACATCTGTTTTGAGTATCCAATAATGAATATTCTTAGAATTATAATTCATGCTTTTAAAAATTGTTACAGGCATTTGAAAGTTGATAGCTGTATTTATTCTGGACTTGGCCTATTTTATATATACATATACATATATTTAATTATTTTAGTAGCATTTTGAGACTAGATGGGAGTCTTAAGACTTCTGTTGCAGCATTAAAAAATTTACCAGTTAATGAAAGGAATACTTCTATTTATAATAAATTATTTATGTTGCCATATGCTGAGTGTTAACAGTATGAGGAGTCCTCAGAAAATTCATGAAAAATATGTATTGAGAAAAATTATGCATGAATTTCAAAGTTTTTTGCATGCTAATGCATATCTTTTAATTCTGTTTTCCCACAGACTTTACGAAGTACTTCTATATATTAGAAAAAAAATCAATGACACTCACCCCAGGAAGTAAAGGAAATGAATTTAGCACCATTTAATTTTTGCTGTTTTGAAATATGACTAAATCTTGAGAGAAATAGATCTGCATCCAAAATAAATATACTGGATGGCATCAAATAAACATCTATTTAAATCCAATCATTTAAATACTGTTTTATAGCCTACTTTTTCCTTTCAATCTAATAAACTTCTCTTCAGATCAAATATTCATCTGTAATATAATTTTAATTAAGATACAGTGCTAAAGTCTGAATATGTCCCCTCTAAATTTCATCTGTTAAAATATCTGAAATGCCATGATATTAAGAGTTAGGGCTTTGGGAAAGTGACCAAGTGAGCAGGCAGAAACTCTGAGTGGATTAGTGCCCTCAATAAAAGATGTCTATTTATCCCTTTGCCCCTTTGCCAGAAAAAAACCCACAGCAGGAGTCATCTGTGAGGTGTAGGCTTTCCCTAGACACTGAATGTGCCTGTGCCTTCATTTTGGACTCCCTAGCCTTTATGACTATGATCAATAAATGAATGTAGTTCATAATCTACCCAGCCTAAAATATTTTATTATAGCAGCCCACATAAACTAAGGTATATACTATTATACTGCTTTAGCAAGGTCATATTTTAGATATATGGGTGGCTTCAAATTTTCCATTATGGTGGATATGGTATGTACTTTTTCTTTCCTGAATGCCTTAAATATATTGTTAGATATTCACATTATGAGATAAATTCTGGTATTGTTACTCTTATTTTACAATTGTGGATGTTAAAGAGTTGACATGGCCAGTATCTCACTGAGAGCTGCAAAGCCAAGATTTGAATCTAGTGGCTCAGTAACTCCAGATACAGTGAATGCTCCACCCTACATTTTAAATAACCCTCTGAGGAACATCTTCATAGATACCTTTTAATTAATTTCCTTTTTTCTTCAGTATGCATTTTTAGAAATGGAATGAAAATATATGTAAAGCTGTAAGATTTTTGTTTGAGTTTACAGAGAGGAGAGAAAGGAAGAACAAACTGAGACATTCCCTTAGTTCATTCTCCAAGCAGATCCAATGGGCAGGGCTTGAACTGGCCTGAAGTCACAAGCCTGCCCCTCCATCCAGGTCTCCCAATTCTATACTAGGGGCCTACATCCTTTGCGTGGGGTCTTAGCAGGCAGCTGGGTCAGAGTGGAACAGACAGGAGTTGAAGTGGTATTCTTGAGGGATGCTGGCAGTAAAACCCACAACTTTCCCTCTGCCACACCATAACAGTGGCTCCAGTTTTAAGATTCTTGGGGTACACCAATTGCCCCGAGAATACAATTGTACTAAATTATATCTTAATCAGAAGTGTTTGAGACT